CGAAACGGAAGACTCGTCGGCCAATCTAATAGCTTTTTACGCCTTATTACTCATCGTTGCTCTCAATCAGGGATAGCGATTGGAATAGAAAAATGGTCGCATGTAATACATTCAAGTCGGGTATATACGAGCGAACGAGCGAGAGGCAGAGATGGAAAGAAAGGGAGAGATTCAGCGGGAAAAGATTCGAGCAACGTGGATAGGTAATACAGCGCAAGGGAGAACGCGTTAAAAATTCCCGGAATTTTTAAAAGACGCAGCCATATCTCTCGTTTCTATTCATTCACACAGAGATAACACAAAGACGATCCGCCGACACGTAAAAAGTTCGACAGATGCCATCGCGCGCGCGTATCGGAAACGAGGAATTATCTCGTTCAGCTAAACGAATTTGGACTCAAACAAAGCTAAACATTTGCAAAATGAGTAAAAAAGAGGCGAGAGAAAAAACATATAAAGTATATAGATGAAAGTAAAAAGCATTTCAAGAATTTATAGTCGCGCGCTCTCTTTCGTTTCGCGCCGTTTCAACTAAAAAGATGAAGCCAAATTTCGCCGATCGATGTAATTAGCGTAATGCGCTCGATTGATGTTTTACATTAGCGTCACAGAACTAGATTGAATCAGGTGTGAGGAATTGCGCCTTCTGCGGTTCGTTTGATCGTTTGATGACGGCGACGAGATATTCTCCAATGGTCCAAGTGGACCACTGGAAACGAGGAAAGGAGAAGGAGAATCGATGAAAGAGAGAAGAGAGAGAGAGAGAGAGAAGGATTTTAATTAGCATTAAAAATTTGATACGCGCTATCATGCTTTCTTTTTATCATTGACGCATGACTTACACGTCCAAATTCCACAACGCGCTTCGTTGTCGATTATTCGCGAATATATTTACTCAATACTGCAAAAAATACTGTAATTAACTCGCATTGGATATTATCACCAGACTTATAAAACATAGTTAACAATATGCCGGATATTGCACATACTTATTAAACGAACACGTATTCGTTGAAGATTGTATTTCGTAGACACAAGGAAAAGGTTAATCGGTGCAACGGTCAACGCGTTAAAGACCACGAATAACGATAAGACCAGATGACCAAGAAATTCGAAACGGAGAGGAATCGAGGCGCATTTCCAATGGAAAGCGTAAAATACGCCGAGTGAAGCGATGTTCCGATCGCGCCGCGAATGTAATTTAACCTTTATCCTTTAATTATATTTATGCGCCGCACACGTACGCCAATGCGCGATGCGCGTTATACAGAAAGATAGAGAGGGCGAAATATTCGCGCGGATTACTCCCAATCCAAATTCACAAACTGTTTTTGAGCAACGTTTGCCGATAATGTTGACGGATTCTCGTGCCAGGTGGCTTTCTCTACCGCGCTGCCGATTTCTGCAACACGACCGCGTCGCGCTAGATTACGAGCAATTACGCGTCGTTCAGACGAATTGCAGTCGCCCGCCGTTCGAGGTCGGTAACGGTTATTTGGCGTCCCCGAGGGCAGTCCAGTGCAATCCGGGAACTTCAATATTTGATATAGGTAGACCCTGTATACCGGGGTCTTCGAACTAGTTTCGCCGTGCGGCTTGATGACGTGCAAATTGGGTTACCCACCCACGGGAATCGTATAATTGAATTTCGTCATTTTCGTCAATAAGCATAGGAGGTTACCCGATCGGATTTACACCTCTTGTACGTGTATATGCACGAAAGTCAGCGAAGATAAGGATCTCACGGTTCTCATCATTCCTGTAGTATTTAATGACTCTGAACATTTTTTTCTCTGCTGCGCGTGCGCATGTGTGTGTCTATAGCATAAATGTTTAATTTTCTCAAGTGTTGAAAAATATTCCTCTATATTTCAAAGTAATAATGCAGTTGATTTAATAGAACGTCCCGAGAAATCAGTATAACCAATATAATAATACACTGAGAGAAAAATATAGTTGCTTTCGACGTCAACTATACTCTTTTGTGATTTTAACCATAAAAATAGTTAAGAAAACCATTATTTTAGTAAGTGTTATTAGAAAGATGGTTCTTCTAACTATTTTTCTGGTTAAAACCACAAAAAAGTGTAGTTAACGTCAAAAGCAACTATATTTTTCTCTCAGTGTAGCCTACATTGTATTACCACACCGGACTTATCGCTTTTAAATTATTTTTTGAAGAACCATAAAGAATACTTTTTTTCCAAGAAAGCCGACGACTTCGGAAAGATATGATTAAGCGAATTATTAATGTTTGCAAACTGATTTCTCGGTTAAGTGCTAATGCGGGCGGTACTTAAACTTTGAAGACTCATAACTCAGGAAGTTATCATCGCAAAAGAGTTTGTGGTGCCAGTGTTTCGAAAACGTCTCGACCACAAGAATATATGCAATGAAAAATGGGAGTTTCCATTGAAAAATTGAAGGTGACCACGTGATCTTCAAATGACCATGCTAGATCAAATGCTAATGGCACTATTTTATGTCTCTCTCGAGACTATGAAACTTTTGGCCGAAACATTTTTCAGTGAAAGCCTCGATTTTCGAGAAATATCAATACGTCATTTAAAATAAGTCACTCTATGTAATTTCTGGGCATTTTTTTTACATATAGACTATACTTCTAAACTATACTTTATAATATTTTATAAATCAATTAACTTGTCATACAACAGCTTTACGTAATACTTATAACAATTCCTTAGACATTTAATATTCTGCATCGTTTCGACATACGTATTATTATTTATACGTGATATATTAATGTGATATTAATAATTTGTATATAAATACAACCTGATCACCTATGGTGATTTTAATGTAAAAATATTTTGATTATTGTAAGGAATTGAAATCTATGAGGGCACCTATATATATATATATATATATATATATATATACGTACACCACTATGCATTGTACCATGCCTGAGCGTGCAAACTTTCACCTTTTCTGTGATTTGCCCACTTGGAAAGTTTTTTACTTAAAAATTATTAGCCTCGACATTTTGTGTTAAAATTTTCGTTCTCCATTTGAACTCAACTATCCTGCCATATTAATTAATATCGCGAGAACTGAGACACCCTATGTATAGACTTCAAACGATTCGTTGTTAATAAATTCTTACACATCGGTCAGACTCACAAAGCGGCTCTTTCATTAATTTCAACGGTCGCCAAAGCGTCAGCGAGAGATCGGCGTATCGATTGAACGAATTCATTTAACGGAAAAAGCGCACGAAAATGTATAACTTTTAATTTTTAGCAAAAGTGAATTAATAATAAACATTAATGTTATAATCTAGCAATATATTCAGCAACTGTAAAATAAATAATAGCCGCTCCCGTCCGTTACCTCGTTGGCGGGCAACACGAGTCGCCACTTTGTACGTTCTCTCTACACAGGAAGTCTCATGCAACTCTCTGGCGCCACATTCAACGGTGCGTCGTACTCATCTACCCAGGAAACGTTATTCTGGCCCGTTCGTATTTACAGGAAATACCGTAGGCGTGTTTCCCCGTCCCGCAAGAAATATTGCGGATAATCGAGTCGGAATATTGTTACTTCGCCTTGACTGGATATCGTGGAACACTCGATATCGTTCCGGGTGCGGGATTCGTATTAAACATTGCGTCGAAGCCGCGTACACCGCTCTGTCGGCGATATTGAGCGCTCAAACGAACGAGACGGACAGCGCTTTGATTCGTGACGCACGAGCGAATAAAAATACGAATATATAATCCACACGGAAAAAAAAGGTTTGGTTGAATTAACCAAATATTTGGTCGAATATGAACGATCCAGAAATTCCGATTAAAGTAACCCGAATTCTGTTTAAGTTAACAAGATGTTTGACTTAAAGAGATTGACTTAAACAGAATTCGGGTTACTTCAATCGGAATTTCTGGATCGTTCATATTCGACCAGATATTTGGTTAATTCAACCAAACCTTTTTTTCTGTGCAGAATCTGTATTTGCCCGTGGACCACGTAAAGGACACGTGTATTTGAACAAGCGCGACGAATGCATTTGTGAAATTAATGTCGCCTAAAAGTCCGCATTGCTATTTAATGATTGAAATACGCGGTAACTAATGATCCTTGTTACACCAGCCGATAATCCTATCCTGTCCCAAACGAACGCGATGGATCGCCTGAAGGCGGATAGTATGTTGATCGGATGAGAGCGTGATAACGATACGCGACGCAAAAGAAAATTCACCCGGTGCATTACGCGCTAATTACATAATGAAGTATGCATAATGAGTGTTTCGCGAGAGCCCCGAGTGATCGGTTAACGGCTATCGTTATACCTCTACCATCACCACCACCACCTGCACCAGCATCGGATGGCCGCGGCGAACAGGGCGTGAGCAGTCGAAGCCGAGGTCGTAGCTTGAAAGTACAAGGTAGACGTGAAAGTAGACATGAAAGTAGGAGTGTCGGGAACCATAAACTCGTCGCATATAGATAATGCCGTGTACACTACAGCGAAGCGCACTCTTCATCCACTTCTGGCCTCTCCTCGACGTCGGATGAAGAGGAGCTGTGCGATGCAACGCGACGAGATGCGACACGACGTGACGCGATGTGACGCGCCGTGCCGCGACGACGAGCGATGAAGTACCCGGAGAGTGTCAAGACTGCATTTTGAAAGCTATTATCCCTGCAGGCGTAAGATCGGAGACGCGCAGGACCTCCCTGGCTCGTGCTGCCGTGCAACAACGGCAGGACAAAGGATCCCGTCGTATGACGTAACCCTATTTCGCCCCATTTAAGTTAGTCCGGGTTTCAGCAGCGCTCAACCGACCGCCGTAACGACGCGCCTGTCTTCGAAAGATCGGCCTCGTCTCGAGATTCGCGTCACGATGACGACAACGGCGATAACAGCGCTGTAACAATCTCGTCGTCTCCACTGAATAGTATTGAAGACTTCTTATCGAAGGAGAAGGAGAAGGAGGATTACGAAGTAGGTTATATTTCACTTGCAATCAGTCAAACCGGCGCCTTTTGAGACTAAACATGACTTGTTACGCAAAGATCGGCTGTGATTTTCTCTACATTTATGTAGAGTAGTAATGAAGTTCGTTAACGCGGTTACCAGTCATATTTCGCGTCGAACGTGCGCTTGTAATTACGAATGCTACGGACTGTTAAACGACAGAAAAGTTCTCTCGAGCACGGTACGCCGAGGAAAATAGGATACGCGGCGCACGAATCTAAATCATAATAGCCAGCGTAGCAGCGCGTTGTTAAAAGTGCAGATGAAGTTTGCTGCTCGCGCCCAAGAAGCAAGAGAGCGCAGTATTTCTTCCGACGTGGCCAAGTTTACATAAGTGAATATGCATTAAATTTTCACGCCATCGTAAGTAAGGTGAGTGCGATATCTCACGTCGAGACGTTATCTATCCTTCCGTTTCGTTGTTCGAACGCGTGATGTTCGCCGCTAATCACGCTGTGTACCCATATCATTGTCAAAGAGAAGAACTCGACGAAGAAGCACGGTTGTCCAAGATGTCTATTCGAATCCGGCGAAGTTGGTTTATGCAGGCACAGCGGAATGTGCATCGGTTTATGGAGCTCTCCGGACAAGCGAACTTTTTTGCGATAACGGATCCTCGACGCGCTCGATTTGCAGGCAATTCGCTTCACTCGTAAACAGAACCGCTGTTTTTTCTATTATATTGGTATTGTGTGTGTACTTAATGCTCACGGGCTGTATCCATAAAAACATCGCAATTTCCGCCGTACTTTCTCCTCATTCGACATCACGTCATTGTCGAGCGTTTTGTTTCAAAGCTTTGCAGTTTACACGCAATTGCGATTCCTTTATTACAAACGGATAAAAAAATAAATTCCTGTTATGCGTTCACGCGCGCCAATAGTGATATACTTGTGTAAAATGTCATCTATCGCGAAATTCGATTAATATCGATTATTTACATGCGGATGACGTCCAATTGTACTGCCAACGTCAGCCGTAACAAAGATGTTACGGATAAAAGAGACTGGTAACATAAAATATCGATTCGTCATGTTGGCGTGTGCGCGCGCTTTTGTGCGTGTATACGAGATAGTGAAGTTTTACGCGCGGTGCAACGGGCGGTGTAATTTTAAATATCACGCACGAAACTTCCTGCAGGAATGAAAAAGTCGAGACAGCGTCGCCAGTCGTAGACGGTCGAGAACGCATCCGTGGTTTTGCCAGGGAAAAAGAATGTGTAAATTCATTATACGCCTTTTCTCTCGGGCGCGCATAACCGGCATTTTCGTTCTTGTTAACTACCTAATGCGAGTAAATACCGAGTCAGCTTTTCACATTTCTCTAACGCGTTCATCTCACGCACCGTAATGGAAGCCAGTGACGACGCGTATTCATTTACGAATCAAGCTTGTATTATCGACAGATGTCACCGACGGAACCGAATCGTTCTATCCCATTGTCGGGAAACGATTTCGACGATAACCACATGAAAAATAAAATGATATGTTTATAGACTCTGTGATTAACTGTCAAGAAAATAGGAATGATAAGGTCTATAAGAGCCAAGAGCTAAGAACCAATGTGCGCGTGCAATAAGTGGAAACAAAGTATGTGATTTTAGATGACGGAAAAAGAAACGTGTACGGCCAGATAGGTTATTTGCAATTTTTGTGATGCGTTCCGATACTTATATTTCTTTTTTAGTTACCTAATTATGCACTTTGTTTCCATTTATTCCATGCGAACATGGTGATCCAGCGCTTGTTTTTTATAAGCTTAATATTCTTTTCTTGATTACATGAAAAATATTCACGTTACACGCGGAGAGATTATTATAGTTTTCTTTTTTTTTTCATATAAATTCTTTCCAATTTCACTATGTTTTTACTAAGTTTTTAGTTCATAAAACTATTAGATTGTAGATTGTAATAAAGTCTATCTTATCAAGGAATATAGTAAATTTCGTTAAAAACATAGCAGGTGTTTTAATAGTATATTTCAGTTCCTAAAATATAAGGAACGCATATGAGATGAAAAGATAGTGAATTATTGCACAATTATCGATCTATTCTTCAGTTAGAAAATTCTATAATAATTTTTACTATAAAATTTTCTCCATGTAGACTGTGCAAAATAAGCCAATATCGATAAGTCCGACAAAATGACAGTTGAACTGGAGATAACCAAAATTAGTTATATCATAGATATCCTTCCGCGCAAATAATCATGTATTACGTGTTAAGGCTGTTAAGCATACATAAAAATGTAATCAGTGAGACTGAAACAGTAAAAAAATTGTCCAAAAAATTGTTCAATTACAATCGATTGGGCCGTAAGAAGAATCATCGATCATGGTTGGTCCATTTGCTTACTGCTTACACTTTTCTGTGTATTCCCGGCCTAACACCGTTCTACAAGCGTTGCATGTATAAAGACCGATATAATAGCCTCAGCATACAGTATAATTAGATTGCTAGTATCGTTAGTAGTGCAGTTACCGCAACAGATAAAGGAATTAAGAAGTAAAATTAAATTAGCAACGCTATAATCTCTGTTCTCATCGACCGTTTATACTCTAATTAGATACAAGTCGCAAGCGGAATCGAGGTAACATCGTCGAAAATGTACGAGACTCTACTTCGACTATGGCCTCAGTGGATCACCTCTCTGATAGGTTAGAACCAGTCCTTTGGAATATAGTATACTTTCGTCATTTGACGTATCTATTCTATCTGGTCTTATTATTTCTATATTTTCAAGAAATGTTCAACGTCCGCTTGTATAGCGACTTAATTTGAGGCAAAATTTACATTTTACTTTGAGACGATATACCTCCGCATGGTGTTGGTATATCATTCTGAAACGTTGATACGACACGAATGAAGCGAATTCGCCGTCATCATTGAAATATTGTGTCTTAGTGACCCTGTTAGCCATCAGCACCGGTCTCGCGATCGGTTGGACTTCGCCGTACCTGGCCCTATTAACCAGCGAGGAGTCGCCGTTTGAAATAACGCAAGATCAAGCGGCTTGGATAGCTTCCTTATTGCCGCTGGGACGTCTATTCGGCGCCATCGCCGGTTCCCTTTGCGTAGAGTATATCGACAGCAAGAGCGCTGTTCTCTTAACTGGTGTGCCATTGATCGTCGGATGGAGTTGCATAATTTGCGCCAATTCCGCCGTGTTGCTGTACGTCTTCAGGATACTTTCCGGTAATAGCATTAATTACAGCTACTAACGACACGCGAGACAAATCTACTTGTCGGAATGATCTCTTAGAATACTTAGAACGTAGCCTTATTGTCTCTTAAGGCCTTCACACACTCTCCGTAACAGTAACCGTAACGTAAAAATTGACCAATTACGATGGAGTATTCACAAAAATGGCGACCTTATGTTTCGACGATTTTCAACGTGATTGGTCAATTCATACGTTACGTCTTACGGTTACTGTTACGGAAAGTGTGTGTGAAAGTCTTTAGACGTAGTCCTTGAGATCTCGTCATGTGTTTCAGTATAATATCATTTTTTGTAAAATCTTACGAAAATTGAGATACATTAATATCTAAACATCTTTAAGATTTCATGGTTAATTAACTTTTCTTATAATTATGTCGAGATTCCCGTAATATTCCCAGTGTGCCAATCTCTCCAGACATAATCTTTAATCTTGCCTATTATGAAATCGTGTTGTACTGATCAGGAGTATCCATGGGAATGATATTCAGTTGCTGTCCGCTCTATATGGGCGAGATTTCGGTACCGTCATTACGTGGGGCCTTAATGGGTACAGTGATCAACGGGCTGCCATTGGGCACTCTCTTCGGCAACATCATGGGTCCCAACATGTCCATGATGCTTTTCGGAATCATCAGTTTGACATTAACGATATGCTACATGGGTATCTTCCTGTTCTTGCCGCGATCGCCGCATTATTTCGTACAGCGCGGTGACATGGAAAGGTGAATAACTGTTCTGTTCGTACGATTGTTTCGCAAACGAGACACGCCAGATTGAAGCAAATTCTCTCTCGGACTTTTTATATCTTCGTGAACAACATTCAGGAGATATAATCGCGATAAGCGCAACATTGTATATTCTAGGCACAAATGTCGCGATACAATTACTGCATGGATTGATGTCACTTGAAAACGCGATAATATTATAATCCTAGAGCAAGCGGAGCTATTCAATGGTATAATCCAAGATGCGACGCAAGAAGCGAACTGGAGAAGGTGGAACGCTATATGAAGTCGTCGTCTATGATGACTGTGACGGAACGGTTGAAGCGAATAAAGGAGCCGAACGTTCGCCGGTCTTTCATGTTGATAATAATACTGTTCTTATTCATGCAACTCAGTGGACTAAACTCCATTGTTTATTACATGGAGATCATCGTCAGGCAGGCGATGGTCACTTCGATCGCGCCTTCGAACGTAGTAATGATCGTTAGTACGGCTGGTACGGTCAATTCCGATATATCAATTAATACCAAATTATAATTTCCATTTCATATTATTTTGTACTAACAAATATTATAAAACATTTCAACTTTACGAGTGAATTCAAACAACGATGCGCGCTATTGCTCTCAATTAATCTATTCTCTCTGTTTTAAAATAGCGAGAGATTATTGTTGACGAGAGCGTTTCGCCTCAATTTATCCGATTGTGCGCAGGTATAATTTTTGGCTGGATCGGCGCGTACTCCACCGATCGTTACGGCCGTAGGATTCTGATGACAATCTCAACCACCTCCGTGACGATCTCAATGCTGTTATTCGCACTGCACTTTTGGCTACTCGATTATGACTACGATCCTAATAATTTCGAGTGGCTGATCATTTTGTCATTGTTAATATTCACATTGCTCTATCTGGGGCTCGTACCGGTGCCCAGCACGATGCTGGGCGAACTGTTTCCGCCCGACCTGAAGAGTATGGCCGGATTCATCGGTAGTATCACGTCGGCGGCATTTGCATTCGTCTCGAGCAGGACTTTTCAGCCGCTGTTGGATATCATGAAAATACAGTATATCTTCTGCATCTACGCTCTAGTCATGGCGGCTTGTCTGATATATTCATATATAAAAATACCGGAGACAAAAGGAAAAACATTGCAGGTGAATTCATTAAGAGAGAGAGAAAGAGAGAGAGAGAGAGAGTGTGTGTGTGTATGTGTGTATGTGTGTGTGTGTATGTGTGTGATACCTCGATGTAATTCTCTGTTACTCGTGAAAACGTAATTTTAACTCAGCGCATTAACGAGAATTGATTAGTCACGATGAATTATATACATTTATATGAGCCAAACCATTAGTCTGGGTTTGGTATATAAAGGTTGAACGTTAATTATCGCTAATGTTAATAGGAAATTCAAGACATGTTAGCTACAGGAAACAGAGGGACGGCGCGAGAAAGGAACTGTGGCGGGACTGAAAATAACCCAGCAAATTGAAAATTCCTAAAATACACGAGGAAATCAGTAATCCGTCATGTAAGTGCGAGTGGGACAATCGCAAAGAATACGCCAAAGATATGTGTATCATACGCTCTTATTAATACGGTAGATATTGCTAGAATATATTGTAGAAACAATAATAAAGTTGGCAAAATAAAAAATTTCAAAATAAAAACAATTGCACATAAATACCAAACAACCTAGCAAGAAAATTTTAGATTACTCAAGAATGACCAAATACAAGTCGAAAATATAATATAGGAACTGCTACAAAAAAAGCGCGCAGGTGGCATTGATAAGTTCATTCATAAAAAGATGTTTCAGAAGTGTGGTTATAAATTGTTACATAAAATATCGAATATCTCGCCGAGTTCACAGAGTAATTTTCTACTTTTTTTATGAATCTACCTCCTTTATGAATTGTCTGTTTCTTTTTGTTACATTATGCCAAATAGATGTCTTGAGAAAAAACTTTCATTCAATTCGTCGTTATTTAGTTGAAGATATTAAATATTGAAAATTAAAAAGGAAATTACGAGCAACGTGTGTGACAATAAAATTTTCTAAAAAGATTGTCGACCAAGAATGGTAAAAAATAACAAGCCAAACAAAAAAGTTTAGCCGATCTGATATTTTTACATCGAGATAAATTTATGTTGCTAAATACTTTACACCGATGTTTCTGCTTGACATTCCGCGCGTGCGGTACCTGTCGCGGAATATTAATAACAGCCATATCAGAAAAGTATGAAAGATGTGCACTATGTTATATAACAAAAACGTTCCGCGAGACCTTGTAGTTACCCGTAATAACAATAATCCTTAATGAATCCGCGCATTGAATAGCGATACGATTGACATTCCGCGCGTGCGGTACCTGTTAAGATGATATATTCATCATTCGTCACACGTTCATTACGAAATGTTTACATTATTTATCTTTAAATGCATATGGTGCCTTTTAAATGACAATTCTTTAGTAGTAGTGATATACTAGTGTTCAGTACTCACGAAGCTCAGTCGAAGAGAGTATTCAGCAGGGTCAGTATGGATTATAAGACAGAAAAAATGGTAGCCAAAAAAATCATGTGATTTCAGTGGATCGCTGGTATCGGAGGTGAAGTTTATTCGTACATTTTCAAGAAAGAGCTTATTATTTTCTCCAATATATTAAATACTCGTGTTTTAAACGGTTTTCTTATAATGCACCGACATTCAAATCCAATCCTTGAAAATCCCTATCTGCGCGAATATTAATGACAGCCGTGTCAGAAAAGTATGAAAGGTGTGCATTATGTTGCATAAGAAAAATACAACTCCGCGTTAAGAGAAAATTTTTGAGGCGTCATTATATATAAATAAATATCTAGTTAAATAATTAATCTTCTCTTTCTCTAAGAAACCAACGAAAATTTACAACAAGTACTGTACATATATAAAATCATGAAAATTCAAATTAAATGTTAATGGCATAAGTCATTAGGTTAAAATTAGATGAATAAAAACAACTCGGTAAATTAATAAAATTCAATTCGTGACAATTATAAAAGCTACTTTAATATATTTAACACTCAAATTAATGTTTCGGACGAGTTAATGTTTCATGGTATACTGTGTAACTTATTTATTCCTTTATTTATCATCATTACGCGCGATGTCTCATTTGCAAAGATAAATGATTCTGCATATTTCGGTAAAGGTCTGACGTCATATTGCGACCAAACACGAGCCGTGTTGTGCATAAACTAATATAATTCCTCATCGAGTGATCGTTGCCCCCGGAAAATAATACAATTCCAATTAACGCCGTCCAATAAAATGAAATCTATTAATTGCTGTTTCATTAATTAAATACTTTAATTACTCCGACATATCCAAAAATGTATCGCACTGCATTAAATATTCACAATAGTCATGACTAAACGATCAGAGATTGTTACTTTTACATCTAATAAACACATATAATTTGCGGATAAACAATTAACGAGTGCGCCTATAAAAAGAAAAAGACGATAAGGACCCGGCGATATTTCGCATTTTGTTGCGATATAATAAGACGATACCTTCATCATTCGTCACACGTCCATTACGAAATGTTTACATTATTTATCTTTAAATGCATATGGTGCCTTCTAAATGACGATTCTTCAGTAGTAGTGATATACTAATGTTCAGTACTCACGAAGCTCAGTCGAAGAGAGCATTCAGCAGAGTCAGTATGGATTATAAGACAGAAAAAGTGGTAGCCAAGAAAGTCATGTGGTCTCAGTGGATTGCTGGTATCGGAGGTGAGGTTTATTCGTACATTTTCAAAAAGAGCTTATTATTTTCTCCAATATATTAAATACTCGTGTTTTAAACGGTTTTCTTATAACCGACATTCAAATCCAATCCTTGAAAATCCCTATCTGCGCGAATTTCGCCGTATGTATGAAAAGAAAACTATTGTTCCAATTCTTATCCGTGATGGCTGTCTCATCCCTGCACCGGTTTACTTTATTGCTTCGACGACTTTGACAGTTTGCAGTTAAATGATTTGCGGAAGTTATATGTTCTGACAGATAATTATATAAGAAGCTTAATGTTCAATAGTGACAATTTAGAATGGCTGAAAGCAAAAGATATTAGAGTTTCTTTGTGTTTTGTTAATATTACGCATTATAGTCAATACTTATAACACGCTACGTGCATGCCTATGTTCTTCTGATCGAAATAAAAAAAAAAAAGAAGAGAAAAAATCTCCCGAAGCAGTGTTCACAAGCGTGATGATTTATCAAGCGTGATGATTTATCAAGCAATTGATGAGCGATTAAATCTAGCGGTTAATGAACGGCTGTTGTAATTGCAGTGACTCTTCTGTTGCTACAAATTGGTTTGTCGGTCACTTGGAGCTCGCCATATATTGCTTATCTGACTTCTCCCGAGTCTCACATTTCAATGACGATGCACGAAGCGTCTTGGGTAGTTTCTCTGTTAAATTTGGGTCGATTAGTCGGTGCGATCTCTGGTTCCGCCGCTGTCAACTATCTCGGCAGCAAGACAACGATTCTAGTCACCAGCTTTCCGATCGGACTATGCTGGGTTTCCACGATTGCGGCTAATCGGGTGGAATGGCTGTACGCTGCCAGGTCTCTAGCTGGCGTCAGCCTGGGTATGACGTACAGCAGTTTCTCGCTCTACCTGGGAGAAATCGCAGATCCTACCATTCGCGGAGCTCTGGTCGTTTTAGGTATGCTAATACTTGTGTACATATACTCGCGCATAGATCTTTGTAGATATTTGTGCAACGCGATTCTAAGAAATATGAAAAGTGCCGAGGATATCGAAGGTTTAGAGAAATGGCCGACGAGTTCTCATTCGCGCAAATATTTCCGAGTTTTCTTCGGATATAATCATGATACGAGTTTTAGTGTGTACAAATGTTTAATAAGATTTATGCCAGGAACAATTACATTTATGAGATTGCAAAGTAATAAAATAAGCTATTTGAAAGAGTGTTGTTGTATCATCTATTAATGCCTGTTTTGCGATAAAACACTGATAAGACGAGATGAAACGCGCGGTTAAATCTCCACCTTGAAGACACGAATTGTACGAAAATTTAAAGCGTCCCAAATGTGTACTTGTGTGAACTTGGCACACCATATTTAAAAATGTGACATTTTTTTTAGAGTTCTGATACTCTCTTGAAAAGTTCTAGAGCTCTATGCAACAATTTTAAATAGTTCCGGTCATTAAATACAAAAAAATAGGTACCTTTTAAAAAAAGGTGCGCTAAGTTCACGCAGCGCACCTAATCAGTAAAATCAACTATTTCTTTAGAGTTTCGGTTTGTTTTACAATAGTTCTAGAGTTCTATATCATATATAACAATAGTTCTACTAATTAAAAGCGAAAAGTCGATTTGCAAAGACCTAATTCACAAAATATGGAATACCGACAACAAAATAAGAGAGATTAACAGTATTTCGCGAGTTCTGCATATTTGAACATATTTACAACTTTGGGGTGCGCCAGCCGCACTTTGAGAGTTCCATTAGTTTAAAAATATTTTTAACGTTCACTTATGATCAGAAAACGAATGTCCAAAGAGTTCTGCGCGACAGCAGTAATAATTTATTTATAAAAAAT